ATGTTTTACAGGACTCATAATATCCAATTTGGCTCCATTCATTATTTCTGTTTACGAGCTTGTCTTCCCTCTATAAATCTGACTGTGTTTGAAATTATCCCACGTCATTGCGTTACTGGTGGAAATCTTTTTTTCAGTCATTTCAAAGGACATAAATCATCGCTAGATTGTGAATTTTTAATGATGTGTTTTGAGAACACATTTGTTGCTCTGTGAATTAATTGAAGGTAATTGTTTGTTGTTGTTCAATTCATTTAGGAGCTTCATTTGAATGCCACTTTTGATAGCTGGAGGTACCTCAAATGTCTTGTTAGCTGGACAATATAGTCAACGAATGAGAGTCAAAGACCGCTTTGAAATGTGATTTATTTAGTTTGCTCCGATCTCTGTGTGGATTGAGAGACAAATTCCCACAATTGTAAACCGCTTTGTGACTCTGGTCTGTGAAAGGCGGTATATAATTAAAGATTACTTACTTACATACTTATTTGGCCAAAAGATTTAACACACAAAGCAGTCTCTTCTGCAGCACAGGTGAAGCCGGCCACGCCCACTACCCCACACAGCCTGCAAACAGAAGGGGAGCACAAACACGAGATCCTAGCAATTAGTCTGAATCTTCCTTCTCTTTTCATATTTATATTTTTGTTTTTCTCCACTGTGAGACTAATAAAGGTTTATCTTATCTTATCTTATCTTATCTTAAAAGACACTGTTGAAAATACATTCACCAATTAGATTAAACAAGAGAACAAAGGATTGTCAGTCACTTGAAGATAAGGAATAAGATAGAAATGAAGTGATAAAACAAAGTCATACATTAACAACAGTGAAGTTCTAATAACATGTATGAAACTGGATTTCTGCTCACTCAAGTTGAAGTAAGTAAATGATATATTAACCGATCTAATGGGTCACTATGGTCTCCTCTCGTAAAAGTCAAACAGGGCCTAATGGCTTTCACAAGTCAAACTGCACATGAGCTGGACACGAACTGCACATGAGCTGCACATGAGCTGCACAGTCAATGAGCTCGTTTCCAGCAGACGTCCACATGAATATGCAAACTGCATTAGAGCCATGATCAAAATTTAATGGTGCAGAAATCTCCGAGTTTTGAAAGACGCATGTGTGAAAGAACAGACTGGAGCGCGGTATTAAAGGGTTGTGATGATCCACTATTTTTGATCAACGTGTTATTTGTAGCCGGTTTATAATATTCCCCACACCAACGGCTTAAGTGTCCCAAGTGGGCCATCATAGATTCATCATAGTCACGTTCAAGCTGAGGAAAGTGCTATTTTAAACATAATACACATGGATTACACAACACAAGTAATTGCAATCAAATCATAATGTCTGTGGTCACAATTAGCAAAACGCAAACACACATTTTAAATCAACTTTCTAAAGCGCTATCCCTGGTATCTGTGGCAACGACCAGGAAGAAGAACAAGAGAATGAATGAGAGCTGGTTAAAAATTTTGCTCAAAATAAAAATAAAAACAAACTTCCAGATGTAAAGATGCTAATATTAGCTTCGTACCTTAACCCTAGTGTATACTTACGCGGCGCTGCTTACGTTAGCGGTTGCGGTGGACCTACGCAAGCACAATTTAATTTATACTCCTTGTGAAGTTTTGAGGAGAATGTTGTAATTCCACAACCAACCACATGATGGCGATCTCACAGGAGTTGCTTGAGATACCAAAGCGGTCTCATTTACGCTGCTTCTTTCTCCTCTTCAGAACAAAACATGAACAAAAACAAAGCTGTTTGAGGTCATGTACATGTGTTTCTACAGTAGGTTTATGTGATAGTTTTATGGACTCATTATTTCTTAACTCATTTAACTGTGATGTTGTGAATAAAGACACAGTTCTTGTTGAAAACATAGTTGTTATTAAATTGTATTCACCACAAACAGCAAAACAATAGATGATAAATATCTGAGGCAAACATGAACAATTAAGTGCAGGAGGAATGCGAGCAGATTCAAATAAAGACAGAAACAGTGCAAAACAAACGACTGCACAGTTTATAAGTTATATATATGTTAGATAGTCCACAGTCTCCTGTATATCAGGCTCTGAGTCCAAACTGCTTTTCCTTTGTTTCCTTCGAAGCACAAAGCAGTCTGCTCCATAGTGCCTCGTCCATTGTCCCTGCTGCAGCCGCTTCATGCTTCCGCCCAAAACACACACACACGGACCAATCACAGCGGAGCTCCCTTGCGGCAACCCTAACGTAGTTAGAAAATGTTGATGCTGCGCGGCAGGCAACGTAAGGGCCTTGCGGTGACCAACGCGTTGCGCAAGTGACGTTACATCACCTCCGTATGCTCCGCGCAAGTATACACTAGGCTTCAGTTTGTTTTGTGTATTGTTTCCAGTCTATGTAAAAAGCTGCAAATACGCTCCTTTTCCATCGGTTATGTGTTGTATTCTAATTAGTTCATAAAAACTTGAATGTCCATCTGATTTGATCCATATTGGGTGAAGAGAGTTTAGTTTTTCAATACTTTGCCGCAATCGTGTTTCGTGTACTCATTATGAAAAATGAATTTAAAAGACACAATAGCCAACATGAGCAGACTAATAGTGATAATAATACATATTTAAGTGAATCAAAACAGGGGTTGTTATCTGCAGGCACCCGTCACTGTCTTGCCGACTTCATCCGCATGTATACCAGACTGAGTGTGACTACGGTACAGTGCAGTGAATTGTGTTTGATTTTCCATTAGTCGACAAATTAAGACATTGAGTAATTTCCAAACTGACCTGTTGTGGCTGCATGGAGTTGCTCAGCTACAACATGTAATTAGTAGGGTTTCCTAATATTACCCCCTATGGGCCACTGCAGGCAGGCTTTTTAATTCCCTGGCGCATTGTGGGTGAGAAAAACAAGACGAGATTCAGTCGGCAACAACAGCCCCAAGCATCAGGGAGGAGACAACGCAATGAGTTTAGCAGCGGTGGTAACATATGAGGTGATGGGAGTCCTCTGAAAACCACTGGCATCGACAAAAAGCAAGGAACAAGGAGGGAAAAATGTGAAGAAATCTACAATCAAGCAGTTATAGAGTGGGGGAGGGAGACGGCTCCACCTTAAACACAGAGATGGACAGAACTGCACAGCCTCTGTTATAGATCTTGACCACGCTATTTACTCAATGCCATTTCTTGGATTGGGTCGTGATGTCACAAAAGCCTAGTAACATACAGGTTAGGTCCATTTTAAATACTGTTTGGGAGGAATTTAGAAATGATGGCTGTTATTTTACTGTTCAAGCTCAAACAGTTCACGATTTGGCGTTTGCTGAAATTGACAGATCCTTATTTTGTTGTGATTTTTTGTCATTCCTTTACTTAATGCCTGGAGTAGGGATTAAATAAGAACTTTACTCCAGCAAGAGAGACAAATTAGGTGTTTTTAAATGTTCTGGTCGGCTCTAAACAAGAGGCGACCGGGCCTTCTCTATAACTGCCCACAAGTTCCAGAACAATCTGCCACTCTTCATCAGTGCATCATCTCCAAACACTTTTAAATCTCTATTTAAAAACCCACTTGTCTGCACATGCTTTTAAAAATTATGCAACGTTGTGCACAAGTTGTAAAGATTCTTGTTTTTTTTACATTCTAACTGCCTGAATTCCGTTTTATATTATTTGTATAATGTATTTTGAACTACATGCGGTGCTTGTCGCAAATACACATGACCTTAAATTAACATTGACTATTCCTTTCATCACAACTATTATTGATAACAATCTTAACAAATATAAATTTGCTTGGCCATGCTTTGCATGGATTCTGCATTAAATGTACATATACTGTGTTTTCTCTCACTGAAAAAAAAAAACTTGAATTTGTTGCGTAAGTGCTAAACCCTCTATCCAACCAACTCCATTTAGGCAAACTAATGACTTGTAATAGTGATGTTTGATATGGCATACCATTTACAGAAAGCAGATAACAGCCTCTAGCTTACAGAAATTTTTGTTTGAGTAAATTTGTGTTGTGGGAGACAGTGTGTATCAAACCAATCAATAAACTGTTATTCAATTATAACTTATATGAGCTCAGCTTTTCCTCTCGCTATTTCACAATAACTGAAAGAACATGTTCGCATCAATAAAGTTTTACGGGCGTTTCATGTTGCGCTAAATGGTTGAATTGATTTTGAAACCCTCAAATTGCAATGGGCCCTACAAATATGTAACAACAGCACTATCGGGAAGTCTGGTTATCAGCTGCTGCGTCTCTCTAATCCTTTTAAATCCATGTCTTTTTAACTCTGGGCCCAATGTCAGCGCGTGTCTTGTTAGCGTTTTGGCACAGGTCTTGTTAAAAGTATAAACAATAAAAACACTTTGATTCATAGTTGGATTAGGGGGTTATAAAGGAGAACATACAATTTCCCCCAAAGATGTATTATGCAAATATTTAGGATTTACAACCAATTTTAGCTTCCTATTTGAGTTGGTTCACTGCCTCACTATTAAATTGGACAAAAACATGGATGGGTGCAATTTGGGAGTAAACAGAAGCTTCTTCCTACAAATGGCATATTTTAGAGGCCAGTGTGCAGGTTGCAACAACTTCAAATGTTAAATCAATAATGGGATATATTAATGGATTTTAAAATAAGGTAAATGTTCTACTGTAGTCGGATCTTTTCAATTTTATTCAATGTATTTTTGTTATAGCCATAAATCACAAGCGCAGTTGTTTCGGATGAGCCATTGGTGCATAGAGAGCGAATGACGAATGTACATGTGCCAAAATGTCTATAAACGTACCGGATTATCACTGTTTTAAGACCCTCCTGCATCGGCAAGAAGGAAGCTGCACACAACAGAAAACCTAAAAATATGTAGTTGTTTTATATGAATGACTTATTATTGACTGTATTTCACATGAGCAGGTTGGAAGGAGTAGTTGGTATTCTACTACACTAATGACTATATGTCCTTCTTGTCCGGAGCCTTCAGTTGATGGTAAAGTAGTGGATTTGTAAGAATAGATTTTGTTCTGTTACCTGCATAGGGATTATACGTCTAAATCTCAGGCATTAGTGGATTTACCAAAGGGATTATACATCACACTTGATTCATTGCTGGACCATGAATAACAATGCACCGCTAAAGAAACCTGCACATACTCAAAAACAAACTTGAAAAATGGTTTACAGTAAGACTCAAATCTGCATTAATTATATAAAATAAGATAAGATACTGTATCTTATCTTATATAATTCTAAATATTTGTAGGTTAGTCACAAATGCAGTCCCATCCAGTTTGTTTAAATAAAGCTCCGCCCAGTGACATCACTCAAAATGTGTAATGTAAAATTTGTGTGTTGTAGTAATCCGTTGTCACTTTACAGCCGCATCACTTTGGCACCTGGTGTTCCCAGAGGTCTCCCATCATGGTACTAACCAGGTCCTGTCCTGCTTAGCTTCATAGGTCTGAGGGGGATCTGGCACCATATAAGAATATTACATTTTCAAGATGTACAATATCTACAGAAGGCCGGCTTCTGCAGCGCTGCTTTCATATTGTGCACTTAATCAGCTGACACATTGAGGCAGTACTTTTGTCGGTCCGTCCTTTACCTATCTGACACTTCATGGTGGAAAATAGAAAATCCCTGTTGTGAATTTTCTCTTGTTGCATTAATAAATGTATCACACTGACGGAATAACAGTCTGAATCTTATTTCCACACGTCAAAATCGTCTTTGTATCTATTCCCTAGACTTCCTCCCTGCACCTGTCAGAAAAAGTCAAATAAATGCGAGAGGAAGACGAGCTGTCAAACCGCTTCCGAAAAGTGTCCAATATTTCCCACTGCTCTGCACACACTGACTTCCCACTGCTCTGCGCGCACTGACCTGCTGTGGCTGCTTCTAACATCAGGATTCTGTGCCTGCTCGTGGAGTTTGCCTATTGGATTTATGAGGGCCGTATATATTAGCTCAACTATCTTCTGCTGCAGCGCTCTGTGAATGCTGTAATTGTGAGGTTAAGCTGAGCTCGGCACTCTCTGGTTCTGCAGAAGTGGCACTGCGTTCCTCTTGGTGCTATGGATACGCTGAAGAGCACAGTCATGGGAAATGAATGAATGAATTTCAACACGAGAGGAAATATTATGTGTGACAATGTGGCGTGAACGGGCATTTTTAGAACGGAAAAGACATTCAAATTTCATAGTCCTGTATAAAGGCAGATGACCTATGTCCATAAATGTCAAAACCAAGCCAATGTGGAACAGTAAAATACAACACCTGAAGTTTAAAACAGGCAGTTAAAGGAAGGTTGTTCGATAAAAGTGGGGTTTAAGAAGTGATTTAAAGGATGACTGAACAGCTTGCTTGTCAATCACAGCCCCCACAAAAAAAATCAGACAGTTGTCATTGCTGGCTTAAAGCAATAGTTTGCAAACCAGAAATTCTCATTCCACCCTTGCCACAGAATTAGCAGTAGCAGTAGTGGCTGTCAACTGATGTAATTTAATTTTGAACCACTAGATGTCGCCAGAATACTCCAATTCACGACTGGGGCAAGTGTGAGACTTGGATGCTTTTATACCACTGGGCAGAGCGACGCATGTCACACAGACAACTGACGTCACACAGCACTCCAGAGCCAATGGAGAGGCCAGGCACCAAATTCAAATGTAGTGCCAGCAAAAAAGGAAAAAAGAGGGCGCCACACAGACGGTTTTAGGCGCAAAAGTGAGATTTGATCTAATTTGCACTAACATTTCCACACAAAAAAATGACGAAGACATGTAGAGAGCACTATAAGAAACATATGTATGCAGTTTGAGTTATAAAAAGTTAATTTGGTGTTTAGTTGTCCTTTAAAAGAAAGTACTGATGGTGCTAGCCTCATCTCCTTGGGCAGGTCGTTCCAGAACCGAGAGGACTGGACCGAGACTTGTGTTGTGTGATAATCGTTGATTGACTTGGCCATTGATTGATTAGGGCATTGATTGGCACGAGCACATATTTCATTTGTGTTGAAATAATTGAAGTATTTATAACTGTTGACAGTACTAGAAGTCATGCCAGACTTCATCCTCCTCTTGTTTTTTGTGATTGCAGTTGGGCGAGGACACGTTTAACCGAGCAAAGCTGCTGAACGTGGGCTACAGCGAGGTCCTGAAGGAGGCAGACTACGACTGCTTCATCTTCAGCGACGTGGACCTCATCCCCATGGACGACCGCAACCTGTACCACTGCTACGACCAGCCGCGCCACTTCGCCATCGCCATGGACAAGTTTGGCTTCAGGTAGGGGGCGCCATTAGAACAGCACTTGACTATTTTCAATGGAATGTGAGCTGGATCTGACCTCTACAAGGTTTGAGAGGTCCGGGGTTCCCATGGTTTTGGGGGGTTCGTGGGGTTCTTTCTGTCCTCAATTTTGTTTTATTTTTGTTGCCCTAAATTGCAATTTCAGCAGCAGATCCGAGAAACAATAATACAAACACGTAAGAGCCATTGGTCCATAGAAAGCGGGATCACCAATGTCTACAAATATTAATACAATACAATACAGTTTATTCTTGTATAGCCCTATCACAACAGAAGTAATCTCAGAGAACTTAACAAAACCATTGAAATCACCAACACAGATCAGAGAGTCGACAGTTAAGACACAAAAAAGAATATAGAACACATGTTGATTAATCTCCATACATGTTGTAGAATGTTTAAGTATCCTGGATCATCGCCACATCCTTTTAGTTGGACACTAACTGTCCAACAGACCCTCCTGCATCGGCAAGGAAAACCTCATAAGAAAACCCAGTGGGAAAAAGTGAGAAACCTCCGGGAGACCCACATTGAGATAGGGATCCGCTCCCACGGACGGACGGGCTATAGATCCAGGACCTAAGCTACAGAACGAGGACCAGGGACCAAGCAATGGCCGCAGAACAAGGACAGGTCCGGTGCAGGACTGAAGCAGCTCCCAGGCGGGTTGGGCAGGGCAGTCTGAAGGTGTAGATGGAAGAGGCCAGGTTCAGAGGTCCCCTCGTCACACCATGAAACAGACAATAGGACAACGGGTGAATAGCAATGCAGACTACAGTCAAAATCCTAATAATGCTAAACAGATAAAGTAGGAAGGAGGAGAGGATAGTGCTCAAGTTACCATACTTCTCCCAGCAAACTGACTCCCTATGCAGCTTGACTGACAGTCTAAGGAGTTTAGCCTTCCCTGAGTCTTACCTTCCTAACAGTATGCTAACTAAAGAGGACTGTTTTTAGTGATTTTAACACCGGAGTTATGTGCTCCTTCCTTTTGGTGCCTGTTAAAATCCTTGCTGCTGTATTCCGAACGAGCTAGAAGCTCTTCAAAATAGGAAAAATGTAATATTGAAATGTTAATACAATAATAAATCCATAGATGTCCATAAATGTCCTGCATTATCCCCGTCTCTTGGCACAGACTGATCAGGGCACTATGGTAACTCTCAAAGGTTTTTCAAGTCATGGTTTGGAGCAAATCTCTCCGTAATTCCTAGGATTATCCACACAAAACAAAAACGTGTCTCATCAGTATATTGTTGTCTGACTTTATTATTTCAATGGTCATTATTCAACAACAAGAACAGATTTTTACATACAAGAACAATGACATGTAACAAAAATACTAATTTAAGAAACAAATAAAAACATTGGCATAGACAGCCTTGCTAAATCAATTGTTAAATAACCAAATCCTTTTTTAAATAAATGTTCTTTTAAAGTGCAGTCACAGCCCCACATAAATATGGTGCCAGGCAAAGAATAGTTGGCAGTCCTTTTTGTCTAAACAATTGCCAGAGCCCTGCTTAAAATGGAAAACCATCTGTAGTGTGAAATCTGCTGGTCTAATAAAAAGTGCAGTTTGATTCTGAAACATAATAGACAAAAATGAATGAATAAATTAATCCGTACCTAAAGTTTGTGTACTTTAGTGGTCATGGTGTCATATCCTGGTCAAAAATGATACGGCGTCTACGAGCTTTAGCTTCCTTATTTTGACCTGAAATTGTCAAAAATGACTGAAATAAATTGATATACTGAAACTAAAGGCAAAACACAACAGACCAATTCAATTCAATGCAATGTGTGTTTGTATTGCCCTAAATCACAACAGCAGTCGTTTCGGAGGACTTTACAAAGTTGGCAATTTGCCAATAACAGATCAGAGAATCGAACAGTTCAAACACAAGAAAATATGCAATTATAACAAACACAGAGGAGCAATTGGTGCATAGGGGACGGATGACCAATGTCCGTAAATGTTAATAAATGTCCTTATATGTCCTGGATCATCATCACTGTCCTTAGACCCTCCTGCATCGGTATAAGGAACAACCATTTATGTCAAAAAATACAAAAACAATCCTGTTGCATATGCAGTGATTGCACTTTATATGCTGCACTCGCCTCACCTCTGTGTATATCAGGTGTATTAGCGTCTCATTTATACATTTATCCTCACACCCAGAACTAATAGATCTGACTTTTGCTGTCATTCCCACAGATAAAAATCTTTAAAGACTAAGCCGGTTAAGTTGGTACAAATGCCACACACAAAAAAGCCGCAAATAGTTCCTCACTAACCTTCAGTCATGGTTGTTGTATCAGGATTGTCAATAAAGGCACTCAAACGTTAATGATGAATGTTCAAACCACTTTGCGTGAATAAAGAGCTCCTCCATTACCTTAGCACCTTGTTCCGGTCCAAACTAACTGGGGTCACCTTGTAATCTTTTCATGCTGATTTTTTAAAACATGATGTCGATTCAATTATCCATCCAGCGCTTGTGTGGCTTATTAGATTATATGACATGGAATTATGTAGCAGTAATACACTTGATGCATAAAGGCTTGGCAAGTAGCGACGCATGTTGGACAATGAACACTGCACTCCCAATTACGATAGTGCACAATCCGCTGATTAGGTGTCTGAAGCCCAAAGGCATACATTTTCCCATAATCCATTTAGACTATGGGAGTCTTATTTTTGTTATGGTTTGTTATGGTTTCCATGAATTATTTTCTCCTTTTTATTTACCGGTACATGGTTTGAAAAGGGATTGGATGAAGCAATTTTAAATCATTTTCTGTCATAGTTTAGGTTTATTTTGTAATTTTGCTACCCCTGTATCTTTGTTCTACTTCCTGTTTCTAATTATCTGCCATGTTGATGATTGTGGTTTACTGTCTATTTTCAAGATATTCTAATTTTAGAATGTTTTAATTGGGTTTGTTACAGCTGTGAGCCAATTATTGACATTATAACAAATAAAGGTTTGATATGTCTCACTTTGCGTGTAATGAATCAGTCATTCAGATTATAATAATAATCTGATTGACTGAGATCCAGAATGGGAATATGTCATCTCAGTGGAGGATTGCTCTCTACTGGTGTTTCCTAGTTAATCTATTCTCTATCTTCCTTTCTATCCACCCGTCTGTGAATCAGTATTTATGGATGGAAACTAGCCTTGAGCTATTTCTGGTCCCATTCAAGTAAATCAATAAATACCTTAAATGAGGCGATGATCACGGTTCCCTTTTGTTTACATGTGGTTTGTGGTGCGTTTCACCGTGTCGCTCGTCACACATCATCAGGAAAGACCTCTTCTGTAGAATGCAGTGGCTCTGCCTGTGGACTGACCTCAGGCTCTTGTCACGACCCTCCAGCAAATGTCTGTCCCGGTTCAACAGGCCCAATAGAAGGAGAAAACCCTTTGCACCACTCCATATGAATCACACTGTAACTCTCTAAACAGGCAGTGCTTTTGACACAGCTAACACCGCAAAACATGATGCAATATGAGGTAGTAATTGCTTGAATTGAGTAGTTTTTATCTTAGTTTGAGTACATTCTGACTTCTGACTACTTCTGATTGGCCAACAGGACAAGCCATATTGTCTTTATTGGGAGATCTGTTGCTTTATTTTCTCATTCCAAGGGAGGCAATTCTTTATTCTTTTTAAGACAAGAACATTTTGCATGTCCCATTGGCTAATCTTGTTTTAAAGCAGTGAAAATGTGCATAAATTAACATACATTAACATAACATACAAATTATTTTTCAGAGCCTAAGCAATTTCGCAATCTGTGACTTCCTGTTACATTCTTGATTCTGATTCTGATTATGATCACTTTTTGCAATGTGTATTTTTTATCAGTGATGATAATAAATACAGTTATGTGACCATCATGTATACATGTACACACTTTTTAGAAGGTGCTATGATCATATAAACTGATGTATTTACTTTTACTAGTGGTATCAGGGGTGTGTTCACAAGTCAGTTGCACCACAGTTCACCTTAAAGGTACATTGTGTAGTTTTCCCTCCCATCTACCATTTAAATTATATTTTGTAATTTTCGGTACTACGGTAGCTTTGCAGGACAATATGTCGTCTTTGACAGTGGTCCCCAACTTCCGTTCAAACTCCTTTTTGTTCCTTATCAACCACTGTATTTCAAGATGGGTTAGGGTTAGACATGTAGAGTCCTCCAGTCTCATGGACATTTTTAAGTCAAATTCTAAGCCTATGACAATGAGTGAAAAAAATGGTGGCGGTAAATATTCTTAAAAAGGTCTTATTTGTTATTATTTAAAATGTTTTTTTTTTTACTTGGAGCACCTGCGAAAATTACACAGAGTACCTTTAAGTGAACCAATATGTGTACACTTTGGCCCTACTGGGTTAACTTACAGTATGCTCTGGTGTGAACACATCCTGAATTACTGTAATTGAAATGAAATGAATTAATTGAATTAATTGATTTTTGTTTGTACATTGAAAAAAACCATCGTGCCATCATTATGCCAATGCAAATTTAGAAATAATGTGCATCTACACGTCCAAATAGAAATGGAAAGAAAGGGGTTGGGTTTTTGCTTGCCCCCGCCCCCTTCTACAACTCTGTCTTTACAGAACAACTCTCTGCTTCATTCAAAACTTGCACTTGGGAAAATACTGTAAATACTCCCGTTTTCTTTGCGCGTCATTAGATAATGTGTGTTCTATGATTGATATTTTCAATAGGAAATGGTTGTATATCTTATAATCAATAATAAATGTAGGTAACACTATTCTTCTTCCTTCGACAGGCTTCCGTATGCTGGTTACTTTGGAGGTGTTTCGGGCCTCAGTAAAAAACAGTTTCTGAAAATAAATGGATTCCCAAACGAGTACTGGGGCTGGGGAGGAGAGGACGACGATATCTACAACAGGTATGACTCACTCTAAACACAATGTGAGATAAATGTATTTCACATTTTACACAAACGCTTTTTTTCACATAATATTACACTTGATTTATGCTTAGATTTTCTCATTCATGGCTTAATCTAATTAAAAGATGGATAGATCAGGATAATCTTCTTTAATCCCTGCTGTGTTGTGAACGTATCAGCTATGCATTAATAAATAGCATTTTGGGCGATGAGAACCTTATGGATGCAATTACTCGTGACAGCTTTATTCCTCTGTCAATGTTCAGGTTCAGAATATTTATATCGGTTCTCAACATTTATTTTTCAAAAGAATGTCTACTTATTACAGAAGTATTGTATTGTATTGCAAACATAGAAGTTTGAGTCCTATTCACTGTATGTGGCATTTTATTCTATTTTTAAGGTACAATTTTAAGCTGAGTCTTGTTGGAGAGTGTGTTAACAAAGATTGTCAATGATCTGAAAGAAAAACATCTGACAAAAGCTGAAGTGGCCCAAACATTTGATGAAAAAAAACTGTAATTAATATCAACTTGAAAGAGCGATGCTTTCTTTTAACTTACAAAAGTATTAATAATTTCCTGCATCTGCCCTTCAGAAAGTATTTTTTGGCACCTCTTCTTCAAAACGTAGAGTTGTAAACACATACATAAAATCCTGCACCTTCGATGGCCTTCATTTTCTTGTGCATGGACTGAATGTGGATACAATCTTGTTTTCCATAGTAATATTCTTCCACTCAGCAGAGCAGAGAAGTACTGTTCTGTACGTTTCTGCAACATTTTCTGTTGAATCTGCAATTTCCCCAGACACAGTTGACCACTCGCATAAATCTCCCCCTGCAGAAACGTCCTGTCCATATTCTATAATATTCAGTACACTGTGTGTGTTTGTGGCAGTCCCAAGCCTGAATAGATTATGAGTGTGAGACGATAGACAGTCAATAATACGAACTGCTTGTGGCGTTTAACGTTTTTGGCTGTGAGACATGTGTAAGTACAAAACAAGTGGGAGGATTGGTGACATAGTTCTTTTTTCTACTTCCATTGTTTTTGATGCGGTACTCAACCATATATTTGTGGATGTGCGCGTCTGTATCTACATCAGGCGTGTCCAAACTAAGGCCAATTGGAGCCCTCTTTAACACTGTAGCCCTCTGCCTTGCTAACACAAAGGAGTCTCTGAGGTGATAAACATAAGTTCACAATGACATCCAGCCAACTTCGGCTGAGCCAATAATGGAATGTTATACTTGTAAAGCTCGGAACTTCCATTAATGGCACTAATGTTGCCGGTGAGAGGGTCAATTTTTAATCTGTCAACTTCAGCTCCGTCATAGCTATTGTTAATGCTCAGAACATCCAGAATCCAGGCAAAAGAGCTTTTCAGTCCGGTTGTTGGCCCCTGGACAAGACTGGTTGAATAAAGTGGCCCTCTTACTCCTGATCTACACCCTTCTGAATACTGGAGAGCCCTAAAAAGTGCCCTCAGATCTCCCAGTGCAGGTGTCAAGTAATGCAAATTGTGAGCGTCATGTGACCATTCAGGATCTTTTTCAAAATGTGAGTTTGCCTGCTTACGGCTGTGATTGGACAGCCAACTGCTCCCACTGGGTTCCATATACTGTATTTGATCCATAATTCGGCCTTGAGCAATCCTTACGTTGTCTCCATTAGTTCAATATCACAGTGAAACATTCGAAACATTTGAAACAACATGTGTCAAACATATTGATGCTGCAATAGCTATGATATCATCAATCTACATAATCAGGTCCTAATGCTCCCCTGTCGTGTCATACTTTGCAGAGATTGAATGTACTTAATGTATGTCAAAAATCCAATTAGCATGACGGGGTCAAATCCAATCTTTACGCTGATTTATTATCGCTAAAATGTAACTAATAATTAGCACATAAATTAACTTAATTTGTTTCTATAGTTCATGTGTAGCGAGTCGCTCAAGTTCACATATGTCATTATCACGGAAGCGTACGCCTATTTGCGTTTGATTGAGAGACTCGACCGTGATTTAAGAGTGCCTAAGAGCTTTGAAGCATTACCTTCATTTCCCATTTACCCGTCCATTTCACAGAGCTTAGCATGTTTAATTAACAGGTGAACTGATGCTGGTATGGTGACGTCTGTGGATAATATAAGAGTGTGATCATTCATACACAGACCAGAGCAGAATGAGACTGAGCTGTATTCAGCGCCACTCCAGCTGTTAGCTTTGGCACTTACACCTGCGCAGAGCATTAACTTTCATTTTAGGGCTGAACAAAAAGTTTTAAAATAATGTAAGATTATCATAAGAGACAGAATATTGGTAATATTTCAGATCTATGCAGCTCGGATATGAACAATCTTCCTGAAGTTGTGAGACAGGCCTCTACCTGACCATGTTCAAAACATATCTGTTTATCTGAGCATACAACTAATTCTATTTTGTATGATTTATTGCGTTTATCTCTCTTTTCAAACCCATATTTTAAGAGTTTTAAGCCCAATACTTGCATGCTGCTCTGTTTTAATATGATATTGTTGTATATTTCATTGCCTTTTTTTTTTTTTTTATTCATTTTGATCTGTGTTTTTAAATTACTCTTATGAAGCACTTTGAATTGCCTTGTACACGATTTGTGCTATACAAATAATGGATTGATTAATTGATAATTGTGTACAACTGCATAACAGCTGCTAAAACATTGGTCTTCAGTGGTAATGGTCTTGGGTTCGATCCCCCCATGAGACTCACTCCCTCATGGGGGGCACGGTGGCTGAGTGGATAGCACTCTCGCCTCTCAGCAAGAAGGTCCTGGGTTCGAATCCTGGCCGGACCAGGGCCTTTCTGAGTGGAGTTTGCATGTTCTCCCCGTGTCTGCGTAGGTTTCCTCCGGGTACTCCGGTTTCCCCTACCACTAAAAATATGTACAATAGGTCTGGCATGCGCCTCCTGTTCGGCGACCCCGCTCCCATCTCTGTGTGGAGTGAGAGGACAAGTGCCCAAAAAATAACAATTGTAAACCGCTTTGAGACTCTGGTCTGTGAAAGGCGGTATATAAATAAAGCTTACTTACTTACTTACTTACTTACTTACTTCTCCCACTGACGTCTGCTGTCGTTGTGTACTTGAGCAACACACTTAACCCCACTTTACCTGAAGCCCCCTGCTGAAAGGGAGAGGCTGGTGCTATGAGAATTGGGTGATAGCTCTGATTGTATGTCAGTATGTAGAATTACTAGAATGTTTTTTTCTAGCCATGTCTATGATTGCTCCCCCTGACACGCTCTTCCATGTTACTGAAATATAGGGAGAAAAATGCCCTTTGAATGTTGTGCGTTTAAATCCGGGCAGCGTTGAGATTACTCTTGTTTGCTGAAGCCTGCTGCTATGTGATAAAGCTGATCTGTGAGGGTTGTCACAATTGTCCAAAGAATGACAGATAAAGTTCAACTTGTAGGCGAACCAGACCGTAAGAGGCTGGAGATTTTCCCGTCAGATATTCCCCTGTATGTCATGCTATCAGTTTGAGCGGCCATGAAATGTGAAGAGGAGGAGGCCCATTAGAAAGCGCCATATGCTACAGTGTGGGCTATAGAAACACAGTGCTATGGCTCCAAGTCAATATTTGATGATAGGATAAAGCGAGATTTCCTTTAGCTTCCAAGCTTAATTTATTATAGAACACGTAGGTGCACAGTGCAATCTTACCAATATACTTTCCCAATGCAGTAACAATGCATTATTGACTCACATCCAATTCCATTTCAGTGAACTTCCTGTATAATTGATAAAAAAAGAGATCTATGTCAAAGGATTTTTTTTGTTTTTCATTTCTTTTTTTTTCTCATTTTGGAGTTTCTAAAGGCAGGAGGAGTAAAACCAAGAGACTGCATTCAAACAGTTGCACACTAAATGATCATGTACACAGACTGTAATGATTATTGAGAGTGTTGAATAAATTGAAGTCTGCCCATGTTTAGTTTATGGGCTTAACCCTTTTGGACATTGCTATGGACCATGTGTTTGTTATTATTGAATTTCCTGTTTTCGATCTGTTTGATTTTCTGATCTGTTGTTGGCAAATGCTTTACAAAAATACATTGAATCGAATCGAACCGTCAGAATGACACCATTGTTTCAGGGACATGAACCTTCCATATTACCATGAAAATATAATAGTCCAATTTTCCATCATTTTCAAGACTAAAGATTCCGTTACTGGTATCAAGTATCGGGTCGATACCATAGGCTTGCACACGTACTCGTACTTATACCATAGGACCCGATTCTGGCAACCCCCATTTTTATTTCACATTAGCGTCAAGATAGCAGACAACTGTGCGGCACGTGTTGCCATGGTGATCTCTCAAAGTCTGCAGCAAGAAAGCAAGCTAGCAGCAAGAAAGCTAGCGGCAAACAGACATGATTGCAGTTTTTTAAAGTAGACGAGACAAACAAAAGTAAAGCAAACTGTATGTTGTGTGTTAAGGCAATATTGTCACGTGGTGGGTCCAAAATAAATACGTATAACACCAGCAACTTGATAAAACTCACCACCACACAGAGTAACCTTTACTAGCACCAAAGCTATTTCTTTGTACCATTTGTATGAGTGGAATATGACAGTAGCTCTTATTGTTGACTGTTAAAACAATTGCTAAAATGTGTAATTGTTAAAGCATTTTCTTATTGTCGAAATGAGGAATAAAACATTTTAAGTTGTATTAGTTTTATAAATAAATTGTAATAAATTGTAACTACTGTTTTCATCCAAGCTTTTTTGTTCGTTTCTCCATAATATTTCATTTTACTCATTATTCTGTTTGATTAATGATTTTTTTAGCAGTACATATGTTCCTTGTAAACCCAAACATAGTCGGCCGAGGTCCTTTTGTTTCCCTCCTTCATGAATTCCCTGGACTGTGAATAAATGTATGTATGAAGCTGAACTTGCTGCAGTTGCACATGTGCTGCCCTTGGCTCCGTTCAAG